CTGTTTCATCTTGAAAGACCTCACTAGTCGCTACATATACATCTACCTACCTAGCAGACAGATTTACACATCTGGCAAATGATGGCTTTTAGCCTAATAAAAGCTTATGCCACAATGTGTGTGTGTTATGTTGTTGTAATGAGTCATGGAACTCTGCTTTTATGAACACGTAACTGAAATGGTTCCACTGCATGGAATTTAAGAACTATGGCAAAATGTTTCTTGTACCTGGACCACATTCTCTTGTGGGTTAAAAATATTCCACCTAACCCACCTGCAGAAGAATTCAGCTCTCCTATTCAGAGCTATTATAACAGAGCTGTTTGTCCCAGTTCTCAGATTCCCTACCATATCTGGCACTTACCTGCATCTTTTTCAGATTAGGGAAGTCTCCTGGTGAAATCTGATGCTCCCGCTCAAGCCGTGCATAAATCTCACCCAAGTTGTTCACAAGCTCTTTCTTCTTATTATCTTTTCCAAATACAGATGGCATTTCTTTCTTCAGTGAGCTGATGATGTAAGCATGAACCTAGAAGCATCGAAAAAGGCAACATAATTTTTTTAAAAGTATCAACAGGATAAGTAGAAGAATGTGTTTAGGTATGGTTCAAATGGACAGTCTAAAGATGAGTGAGATAAGAATTGTAAGCATTCATTACTGTGAAATGCCAGAGAAATGAAATGAAGAATGTTTAGTAAATCCTTACAGAGAAAAAAACAAGGAATGAAGTGAAGTACAACCAAGCTAGCACAGAGAGACATTTTAGCCACATTAGATATAGTTAACCACAAATTTACACACCCGTCTGCATGACCTGTTTTCTCACTCACACTGTCACCAGCAAAAGACTTATAGATCAGGGTTTAATTGTGGTTTAGCTAAGGGGAAGGAATCAATTCCAATTTCTCCAAAATCTCCCTTTTATTTCTGAACACCCAGTTAGCTTCAGAAGACATAGCTGTGGTGTCCCCTGAGACATCTGGGCATGCCCCTGGGATAACCCACCTTGGCTAGCCGTGCTCGTTTAATGAGATCGTTCAGTTTCCGAAGTGCTGCGTTGCGAGGAAGACTCTGGATATCTCTGAAGAGGTCTTGCTCCTCTACCTCAAATAGCTTGCGATTATCTGGGATCAGCAGCGGGTGGGACCAGAAGGAACCAATGTAGACCCTGATCACCTCAGGAGTATTGACAATCTTCCCTAAAGACCACATGAGAGCACCATAAACCCTCATAAGCTGCTGTGTCTCAATCTGGTCTGCTTTGTTTAGCACTACCCTCATCTTGTCCTCATGGTTCTTCAGTGCTTTGATGACCTCTGAGAATTCATCTGAGATATCTAGCTTGTGGGCATCAAAGAGGAGAATGATACGGTCCACTCGCTCTGCAAACCACTCCAGGACAGCAGCAAAGTCATAGCCTATTGGGAAAACAAAGAAACAATCCCTTAAAAATATAGGCAATGTCATTCACAGCCGATCTTGGAAACAAAACCAATAGCCATCACATCACTAGCTTTGGAGGGAGACAGTGTCCTGTGGGTTTTCTGAGAGGTGTTCTAGCCTACTTTTAAACTGCATTAAGTCAATTACCTCCTCCTGACCAGCTGATGAAAGCTAAGAAAGCCACTTACAAAATTGCTACCTTTACACAGAAGAGAGACAAGTATATTTCAGCAAGTAGCAACAAGACAAGAAAAGGTATTCCACTGGTAATTCTCTTGTACAGCTTGCAGAAAGTGGAAGAAGCTGGGCAATTATAGCATTAGTATGTATACTAGTTTCCTCTGTAATTTTCTTAAATTAATGGTGGTTTGACAACTATTTTCTGCCTTCATAGAAACAGGTATCATTCATTACAGGATAAGCTGTGACATTCAGCCAAAGAGACACTGAAGAAAAAAAGTTTCTAATGTTTCACACGGACAAGTGGTAAAGAACTTGGGATAAAATGGGACCACTATGCATAGCTGCATTTATTATCATAGCCTAGATATTTTATGTTGTATTGTAAAATGTACTTTAGGGACAGGAGAAATTGACAAACTAAAAACACATTCTCAGACCTACCTCACCAGCAAAGAAGTCCTTAGCACAGGACACACCTACCACGGCACCAACACCAGACCCATGAAGGTGGCGATGCTAAAGCAAGGGGAGTGAAAGCCTTGATATGCCAGTACCAATGTTTGAGATCAATAATAATACTTATTATATGGCACTGTGTGTAGAATAGCCAGGA